TTTAACATGTCTAGGTGCTAGAGAGATCAGCCTTTCTGTTCTCTGATTCCCTTTTTCCACGGGGAAATGGGGGACAATTGTCTTGATGCAGAGAGAGCACAAGAGACCAGATGATCAGTATCATGTTCGATAACCATCGTTTGACAGCTTTGTCCATATTAATGGACTCTTATAATGGAAAAAGTGGGAGGTTACCAGATAGGACATGTGGCTGCTACTCAGGAGTCAATTTTAAGAAAATGACTGATTAAATCATTCAAAGTGATTGGATTAAATGGACCAGTTAATTTAGTCCAAGTAGCAATCTTGGATTTTGTGCAAGTTGCTAATTCTAAGAGCAAATGAAATTTAGTCACAAAACAGGACATTTTAACATCACACAAGCTTGTCACTAGGTGCATATTTGTGATGATTAGGGGGAACTAAAAGTATTGTTTGGAGGGAGTATCACAGACCTAAAAGTCACAGGCCACAACAGGTAGAGATGCAGTCTGGATTATAACAATTTTTTTTTAATGTCTTAGAAAAGCCTGCAATTGATTTATCTGCAGCTGCATTCAAAATATTTTACAGTCATAATCTTAAACGATGTTTTGAAATAATTTGAATACCTGAATGTATGTGAAAGAGTCCAGACCCATGTATTTATACTGCAAAGCTTGATAAGCCAGAGTTTTTCCCATATAGGCATGCAATTGATTTAACTATAGGCCTGACCCATGGAATTCCCTTGTAAACTTACAGCCATGAGAAAACCCACTCTTGCCATGGAACCCTCCTCCTGAAAATAGAGCAGGCGCTTCTTGCCCTTTCTCACAGTCCTCTTGGCTTCAGGGAAACAAGAATGCTCTTTGTCAAGGCATACCCAGGAGGAGCATTTTGCAGCTCAATTTTCTCATGGTGTATTCAAATAAAAAGGAATGAAGATAATTTAATTTGAAATTTGTCCAAGTGTTTCTTGTATCATCCCTGTGCTGTGGCATGTTTCTGAAGCAAATAAGATAGTGAGAAATCAAATATGGAGAAATCCAGCAGAATGCCTCATGTCCTAAAAATGCCCATTTATAGAGCTTGCCATTTCTTTTATTTTATCCCTCTTTTCTGAAATAAAAGATCTGATAACTCAGTGTCCTGGATTAAAGAAACAAAGAAACATGCTATCAGATCGTACTCTTAACCTCAACCTATAAAGTATTTCTTCAAGAGTCCTGCAACTTAACTTCTTTCCAGACATAGTGAGTCGTGAGTTCAAAATTCTTGGCTGGAAAGGGGGACCTAGGTCACCTTTCAACAGACTAAACCTGCAGGTCCTGCATTGGAATCAATATGGTGAGAGTTCTCAGTGCACTAAAGTCATCTTGTCCAGGAGACTCCATAGCAGGCAGCATCTCCCAGAACCTGGCCTAGCAACTTACTGTTGATCTTGGTTTTGATCCAGCATGTGATTCTAGTTGAGGACAGCACATAGTAGGCACTTAGTTAAGCTGAAAAGTAGAAGAGTGTATGAAGTTTTGGGCTTCAAATATTTAATTAAACTTTTATTTACAGGTTATAATTGAAATAAAATGCTTTTTGTTAATTTTTCATTTTGCATGCGGACAATCAACCCATACTTACCAGTTGAAGTCTACACAACCATTATTAGTTTAATGCTAATGACTGGATGCTGTTTTTAACTGAGCACAAAGTATTATAAGTTTTGCTGAATGTGATTTCCATTATATTCACATATTAAAAAGTTTAAAAGAAAAGGCTGTGTCAGAATGCCTAAGACCTAATCAAAGACCTGCCGCTTACTAGCTGTGTGATTAAGGAAAGTCCCTACTTAGCTATACTTGTTTCTTCATTTGTAATAAATGGGGATGAAAATAATAGCAAACACTGGTGTGCAGCAACTACTCAGTGATTCCTTATAGTTGAAGGCATCAAATATGCAGAGTAGAAATTCAACCGCTAAATGTGTGGTGTGGATAATCCAGTGTTTCAATTAATGCCTGTGAAGGAAACTTGAGCTTTGCAGTCAATCTGACTCAGTCTTGCACAACTATGTGGTACTCAGTAGGCAAAATATCTTTAACTGGATAATCTCAAATAGTTTAATGCATTATTTAGCCTGCTGCAAGGACAGTATAGATGTTATTATAAAGTAACAAGTTGTACTAAAAGTAAAAGCTATGCCAAAATTTACACACCAACACTAAAGCTTATGACTTCAACGTAACTTTTTGGGGAACACAGTTCAGTTCAACATTTGATATGTCAATTTAGCTAAAAACAAACTGAAAGGCTTTAAGAGCAGAATTGAGGCTTCCTTCTCTGGGGAAGAGGTTCTACCTGTGGAGTGCAGTGTCGGCTCCTGCTCAATAGTTTCTGCCTTGCCTTCCAGTCTGTCCTTCAGGTTTCTGACTTGCCTAGCAAGTTGCCACAATCATATAAGCCAATTTCTTGAAATTGGTTCATATCAAATATATCTTTATTACATGTAAATATATATTTATATTAAATTTATATATTTATTACCAGTTCTCTTTCTCTAGTGGAATCTTCTTTGATACAATACTTAAATGAGTAGTACACATCTTGAAATCCACATTTCCACACTTAGTAATCATCTGTTGAGCATCTGCACCCCAGCCAGCAGTGTCGTACAGGGGTGATGTGTGTGGGCTCTGGAGTTAGGTAGCCTGAGCCTTAAAACCTGGCTTTACTGTTTATTGATTTAGTCACCTTTGCAAAGTAATATGATTTCCCCATGTCTCAGTTTCCTTACCTATATGAGGGTTGATAATAATGTGCTGTTGTAGAGTAACTAATACTTATTGATTTTTAAAATAATTAGTACCAGTGAATACCTATACCAATGGTGCTGGAGATGATTCATACTGACTCAAGAAATCCAAAGATGATTATCCCAACTCCATATTCAGTTCATGAACTTTGGTAGCTTGAACTTGGTTGTCTTGGGAATATTTACACTATGGTCATTGGCAAACACTGCAAGTCAAGGTTTTTTGTTTTTTTTTTTAAGGTGGGTTGCCAGCACAACTTTGCTTATATCCATGTCTGATACAAAGTTAGCCTTCTTCAATAATAGTGATTATAACAGCTAACTTGCAATAGGGAAAAAAGTCAATAGGATTCATTCCCTATTCTCAAAGAGCAAACTATTGCTAGTTCACACAGTCCTGGTGTAAACATTAAAAAAAAAAAAATCCCCTCCTTAAGACATATCACTGACATCTGAAAAAAATTATTAAGTTAAATAATGTGAATACTACTACTAAGATTTATGTAATGCATAACTTTGACAACAAACTATACTTGGAATTCCTACAAGAAACCATAGCTATGATGACAACTTGCATTTTCCCTCACTCTTTTAAAGGTAAAATTTTCCCCCACTCAGTAAGTATGTGAAAGCAAAGCTTTAAAATAAATATTAATTCTTAAATAAAACATTTCCTCTTCCAGGACATTCTGAAACATCTTTTCAGTGGAGAAAAGGTCCTCAGCAAGAGAATCCAAAAGAGAAATAAACAGTCACTGGAAGCACAAATGCTGAAGGGATGTGCAGGGGCATATATTTATAAAAGAGCTCAACTGAAATTGGGTAATGTGCTTCAAGAACAGAAAAAAAAGATCAAAACAAACAAAAATCCCTAGGACTTTGATAATGACGCTCTTATGATGTCTGAGAACATTCTCTCTTCTTATGCCCTCCTGTTTTCCTTGGGATGCAAACCTCCAGCCCAAGCCAGCCCAAGCCAGGCCAGCTCCACAGGCTTCAGGCGTTCTTAGGTCCACGGAGGCCATCCTTGAGAGGCTGGTTCAGATAGTCTACCTGGTACCTTCCAGGTGCACTCACAGAATCTGCTGCCGCCCATGTCTTTAAGATGAGAAATGAAACCTCAAGGGCCACATTCACAAGGGCCCAAAGCAGCCGCAACTAAGCCAGCAGTTATGCTGAAGCCTCCTGGATTCCCATGAGAAATTCTCTGGATCTGGTTCATCTACGTCACAGGAGTCTGCAAACAGGAGGCTACAAGAGTTTTTAAATGCAGCGACTCTGAGTTTTCCCTGACCATTTTTAGTTGACTTGTCTCACAGTTAGCAGGAAAGAGACAAAGGGTGATGCAGGGAGAGGGGGGTGGAGAGGAGCTTAGCAGCCTACAGTAGCACACAGTGCTCCACCTGGGGGCCCAAGGCTTCCACCCCCACCAGGACCCGGACCGCCCAGGCTCTCTGGGGTTTGTTTTCTCTCCAGGAAGCTGCATCCCGAGGTACTCCTCCACCAGCCCTGGACATCTGCTTGGCGAGTCTATTTTCTGCTACCGGCAGAAGACAGGAAGGAAGAGTTTGTTTCCTGTAAATAGAGGGAGAGAAAATTACAGCTATTATTGTTTTGACAACGGAAGCCCTCCTTGAAACTTGTACCCGGGTTCATTCCTGACAGGCATCAGGTCTTGAGTTGCCGGCTCTGCACAGAAATTCCTCCCAAGGAGTCCCCAGGAGAGCCGAAAGCCTTGATGGCCTTGCATTAGATGTCTAAAGGCATGAAGATGTAATTCTGGGCTATCCTGATAACTGCGCTGTGGAAATGGAATGCACGCCTGCTTTCTGATGAATGTTTTGATACAAGCCTTGCCACCCCATTGAGCATGCTGGATCTTGACCCTTAAGCACAGCACAGTAGTCTGCAAACACACAGCCCAGGGTGGAAAATGTCTTGATAAAGGAAATCATTGGTATCAATCTTTTAATTGTCTCCCCCTGTTCTCTGCTCTTCTCCCAAGCTTTATTTCTTTTGAAGCTTCCTTGGCTTTTTTATTTTTTAAATTATTTTTTTGTAGTTGTAGTTGGACATAATACTTTTATTTGTTTATTTTTATGTGGTGCTAAAGATCTAACCCAGTGCCTCACACATGCTAGGCAAACGCTCTAGCCCCAGCCCTGATTCCTTGGCTTTTAAAATCTAAATGTGTGTGTATAATTTATATATTATTTAAATTAATTATATATAACTATATATTTTAAATTATATATACATATTTTATATTATATGTATAAAATATAAATACACACACACACATATTCCCCCTACCAGTGAAAAGCTGCAAAATTACCCACTACATATTGGGGATCCTCCTACTTTCAAAATATTTGATGTGTCCATGTGCTGTTGGGAACATATTTGACCATGAACTACAAACATTTATTTGTTATTTTCAGAGTTTTATACTCATCTTTTACCGCTCCATATTTGAGAACTAAAAAGAAAGGAGAAAAGGAGCTAACAAGGACTGTTGGGCTGGGAGTTGGTGGGGAGCGAATCTATTATATCTATTATATAGTTGTAATTGTGTCCAACTATAATTACAAAAAAAAATTAAAAATGAGATTTGTTAGTCAAAAGGGGTAACTCTCTTCTACTGGTTGGAGAAAAACTTTATTCTGATAGTTGAAACAGGATACACATTTCTGAAATACAAAAAGAAGGGATTGCTTCGATTTCTTTTGTGAACTTGCAACAATAAGAGGAGATCCTAAGTCAAAGTGAGTTACTGGGCTCATTCTTAATCTTGGCTGTCTTGACACCACCCCCTCTGTTGGTCCTCTTTCACTGGCTGCTCCATTGTAGCATCCTTTGCTGGCCCTTATCCGCTGCTCTACCTTCAAATGACAGTATATACTAAAGCTCAACCCGGGTCCTCTTCACTGTTCCACTAGGCCTATGGCTTCAATAATATCTATATGACTTCCCAAATTGTGACGCCAGGCATCACCTGTGACCTGAATTCTAGATTCTTAGAAGCCATAGACTGCCTAACACATCTGCTTAGCTATCTAGTATACTTCTCAAACTTTACATACATGAAACAGAACACACATTTGCCCATCCAAAACTTGGTCCTCTTCAGCATCCCCATCTCAGTGATTGTGACCACCCTTCACCTACCTATTCAACCAAGAAACTGTCTCTGATAATTTTTTCTTCCCTTATCCCCCATCTCTAATCTCTCAGCAATTTCTTTTAGCTCTACTTCCAACCCGCATCTTCTATTTTATCTCTTTTCCCTAACCCCTTTGCTACCATCCTAGTCCAAGCCACCTTCTCTTTCACCTGGACTATGGTAGTGGACCCCATCTGGAAACTTTATGTAGATGCTCATCCACAAAATCCTTCTACACACAGTAGCTAGAGTGTTCTTTTGAAATTTAAATGGGAGTATATAATTTCCTTGTTTAAACTCTTTCAGTGACTTCCCATCACATTCAGAATAAAATCCACATACCTTATCCCAACGTACATAATCCTGCCCCAAATAATCGCTTCTGCATAACCTAACACCCTTTACTCCTACACTGAACCATCTTTCTTCTCTTTGGAGCCTCTCCTTCCTCACTAGAACCTCCTCTGCGTGAGGTTTTCTCTCCTGGCATGTCATAGGCTTGGTTCCTTCTTGATAGTCAAGTCCATGTTTAGATGTCATCCTCTCAGAGAAGCCCAATGCCTCTCAGTTCTATTTCCATCATTGAACTAATTGCTGCCTGGTGATTTTTATTCATTACTTGTTTATTATTTCTTCCCTCCAAATATATTCTAAGCTTATGTTAAGCACAGACCTTGTCTTCATGTCCAGTGATCCACCCTAAGTTCCTGGAGAAGCTCATGGCATGCAGTGGGTGATGCTCAATAACTGTGGAATGGATGAAAGAAGCAGATGATTGGGGGCACCAATCTGTTCCCAGATATCAGGAAAACCCTTTTCTAAGGAAGTGTTGTCTGAATGGAATCCTGAATGATGATTGGGAACGAAGAGGAAGAATTCAGGGAGGGGAAGAGGAGAGCAAAGCATTCTAGAAAGAAGAAACACAATAATGCAAAATCCTAGAGATGGGAGGAGCAGAGCAAAGGGAGGTACCTTGTTTGGAACTTAAGGAAGGAGGAGGTTAGTGTTAAGCTGAGACTTAGAGAAAGTGTTCAGGGATGTGTTAAGGACTCCAGATTATACTTTGAGAGCTTTTGAAAACCATTTGACACTTAAATAGGCAGCTAGAAGGATAAGATTCACTTTCTAAATCTATCTTCTAGGCTGCAGTGTAAAGAGGCTGAGGTGGGAGCCATGTGGCTATTGTCCTTCTTGTTATCAGATGGCTGCAGCATTAATGGGGAGGAAAATTTATGATAGCTCGGACAAATTACTGGTGAAGGAGATGGAGAAATTGGATAGATTCTAAAGATGGTAAGGGGATAAAATAAATAGAGGTGTTTAATTAGATACAGGTGGAATGATAGAGTGTGGGGAGGGATGGCGTTTGGGGATATGTGAAGCATGAAAGAAGTTTTTGACTTACATACTACTGGCATGGATGGTGGCATCATTCTGGGAGGAAAAGGACATAGAAGAGAATTAGAATTTTAAAAAATATCACAAAGCTGGTTTTCTGTATGTTGAGTCTGAATACCTTTAACATATTCAAGAAGAGATTTGGAAGTAGAGAGTTGAATTCAGTAGTGGGGGCTCAAAGAAAAAGAGGTGAACAGAAGATAAAAATTCAGGAACATAGATTATAGTTTATGAACACTTTGATAACAAGGACCATTTTGCATTACACATACATGCCATGAAGTCTAAAACACGCATATAAGCTACAATGACCACTGTAAATAGTAAATACGTATGAGTGAAAATTATACAGATTATTTTAAAGAAGCCAAATAGATGTTCACTTACAAAGATTTTATGTTTAAAGCCAGTTAAGAAAAAAACAGCAAATGAGAGAAAACTATATATTTTAAGTTTGTTGTGAACATTTGCAATATGTTTATACTGCCAAAATTTCAAATTGTTTGGAATTTGACAAATTGGTTAGAAATTTTCCAAAAGACTACAAGTTTATTAGAGCACCAAAACTAGGTTGTAATGAGACAAATATATTATTTTTTGTTATTTTGACTGATACCTAAGATTAAACATATTTATGGAGTGCCATGTGATATTTCAATACATGTACATATTATATGATATTTAAATCAGGGTAAACATATTTCTACCCTCAAAAAATCATCTCTTCTTTAAGGTAAAAGATTCAAAATCTTTTCTTCTGGACTTTAATATATATATATATATATATATATATATATATATATATTACATATAATTACTGCAACACATTATTGTCATATATAGTCACATTATGCAATAACACACTGGTGCTTCTTTCTCCCATCTAACTATAATTTGGTACCTGTTAATCAATCTTTTCCCAACCCACCCTCCCCTCTACTTCCCTCAGCCTCTAGTAACTACCATTCTACTCTCAGTTTCTATGAGATAAAGGTCTTTAGAATGAACATATGAGTGGGATGATGTGATACTTGTCTTTCTGAAACTGACATATTTCATTTAACATAATGCTCTCTAGTTCCATACATGTGGTCACAAATAACAGGATTTCATTCTTTTTTACGACTAAATAGTATTCCATTGTGTATTTCTACACCACAGCTTCTTTATCCAAGACAAATATATCCTAAATAAAGATCTTTGGCATAATTATGTCACAGTTGTTTTACAAGTTGAAGAATTATAACCAAAAGGGCACATTTTCTTTACTTCCAAAGCAGTGCACTACATAATCATCACCCACCATGGGATTCTAACTCATCTTTCATGTTACTCAAAACATAAAAGTGGACATTACTTGGTTGAAGTAGGACTATGTGAGCGTCTTATGTTCAAGTTTGAATTGTTTTAAATGAGACATCAACATGAACATGAGTGTGAAAGTGTGACAGAAGATACATACATGAGAGCCGTTTATTTGAAGGTGACCATTTCATGAAAGTAACTACATTACTTTTCTGTGGCTGCCACATGAAACACCACAAACTGGTGTTTCATGCATGAAATTAATGCATCAAAAAAAATTTTTTTTTCCGTCTCACAGTTCTGGAAGCTAGAAGTCTGAAACCAAGTTGTTGGTAGGGCCATGTTCCCTCCAAATCCTTGAGGGGAGGGAGGATCTTTCCCTGCCTATTTCACCCCAGGCATTTCTTGGCTCATGGCACCTCCAGTCTCTGTCTCTGTGGTCACATGTCCACCTTCCCTCAGTGTATGTCTCTGTGTCTTCACAAGGCATTTTCCTCCATGTGTCTCTGGATTTCCTTACTCCAAGGAAACCATTCCCATTGGATAATGCCCCCTCCCCCAATGGAGCATGACCTCATTGAACTCATCACATCCACAAGGACCCTATTTCCAAATAAGTTCACATGCACAGGTACTGGGGATTAAAACATCAACATATCTTTCCTTGGGGGACACAATTCAACCTACAACATGATCCATGGGTGCTAATGAAAATACATCACATGTGAACTCGCAGGTGAGGGCCAGGATAGGAATGTGCGTGAATTTCCATGTGTGTGTGCACATAGTCAAGGGCTGGAGCCAAGAACCAATTCGTTGATCCCCATTCTGCTTCCTGGTCCGTGCTTTCAGTGGTTACTTGGACAGCTTTTATGCTGTCCCATGACTCCATTCACAATGAGTAATGGATGGTTTCCGGGCTCTCACTCCCACTTTTAATGAATACCAACACTAATTAACTGACAGTAACATGTAGCTGCTCTTGGCTGCATGCATCCCTCACTGAGGTCATAACGGCTGTTGGTAAGGTAATTTATTACTGTGTAAGGCGCACTCTCAGTGTGAAGACCATTTTTGCAAGTGCCAAAGCAATGCAAGGCAGGCCTTTCTTGGTAAGGTAATATGTTCCATAGCTCCTGGGCCTTGGCATAATGACGCATTAAAGTCACAATGGCTCCACTGGAATGCTGTAAAGATTTCCAAACACACCACCATCTGGTGGGAGGGACAGAGGACTACTGTTTGAAGAAGGACTACTGCTTATATGCTGAAATCAGAAACAGCAAGGGAACCCCTAAAATCATCAGAACAGTATATTATTATGATGATTAATATTGTTTGCCATAGAATTGTTCTGGGGATGATGGAATTGCATCTCAGGAAAAAAAAAAAAACAGCATAGAAGCAATGTTAAGGATTTTCGTTTTGGGAATGGCAAGCATCCAAGCCCTTGAGTGCCCTGCAGTGAGGTCACCTGGGCCGCCCGCTTCTGGACCCAACTCTGCACTCCCCATGAACTCGACCAAATTAGCTTTACACGATGAAGCCATTTTACTTCTCTAGAGGATCAGAGAAGCTGGACCCAGTCCCAGTGCTCTGTAGATAACCAGTCACAGGATACGTTCGCACCCTGTTCTCTCCTAGTACATCATGCTACAGATTCCTCTGTATTTCCCAGTTTATATCCATAGAGGGAACTTAGGTTCACATATTTCCTTCTATTATCTGCACTAATCTGGTGACCCGAAATCATTTATGTACCCTCCACTCTTGTTACAACGCCTCTGGAACTGTGTAACATTTTTTTCTCATGTATGGGGCTACTGTTCCCAAACAAGTCCTTTTATCCTTCCTATAATAACCTTTGTAATGGTAACAGCAACTCCTTGTAACACTTAAAATGCTTTTCTCACAAGGGCAGTGTGACAAGGAAAACTATGTCAATATGATTTTTAAAATGACATCCAAATAGTGAAAAATCACAAGACTCTCTAGTTAAAGTAGTAAATAACAAAGACAGTGAGAAAGATGTATTAACATACACAATAAAGAATGGAAGAGAGTTATGTAAGTTAGGATGAATTTTAGGTCTCCAACAGTGGGTGTCAAAATTTGTTTATTGCTGAATTCACATAAACTAGAATCACTCTCTACAAAACATACACATACGTAGTAATGTGACAGTAAAGTATTGAAACTGACTTTTTTCTTAATATTAGAATGCAAATACCCAAACTATTATCATCCACAAACTTTGAAGCATGTGCAATTGTTTTTTTAGAAATACCTTCAAATTTAGTTTGTGAAATCAAAAACAAAAAGCAGATTTGTTACTTTATATTCACATCTTAAATCCATCATTAAATTGTTCAATCATCTTGAATACTCATCATATTTGGATAATTAGTTCCAAATGACTTTGTCATTTTCTGTTTCCAAAAATCAATCTGGCCTTCTTTGGACATCTACGATCACATTTTTTTTAACTTTATTAGATATTTCTAGTTACAAAAGCTCTTAATAACTCAAAGACATGTATAGAAAAAAATAATAATCTCCATCTACTTCTCTGCCTCTAATCTCACTCTCATGAGCTAATGAATTAACCATGCTAAAGAATAATAAACAGTTCTATATATCAAACTAGAGAGATTTTACAATATATATCTTAAATAAAAAATATGATATGTAGAGTATGACCTTATTTTGTCTTGACATGCATAGATCTATAGTATGGATATTCCAAATTTTATTCAAACACTGTCATATGGATGCAGTCAGGATATCTGCAGTTTGTTGATACTGCAGGAAACATTTCAGGAGCCTTTATTACTCACAAGTCTTTAAGCACAAGTGATTATTTCTGTGGAAGAGATTCTATAAGGCAAAATTGCTAGGTTATGTAAAATTATAAAATGTATTTATATATAAGATTATATAAATCACATTTTTTACTACTCCTGCAAAGAGAGAAAAGTGCATAGAATTAGTAAACACTACTGAAATTTAATTAATAGAAAAATTAAAGGCCCAATTCTGAGTTTCCCTATGCCCAGGACCAAAGAATATTAGCCAGTCTCATTTGGTGAGAACATGTTCATTTTTAAACACAAAAAATTCATCACAGCTGTGGCCAGTTATGCTTCTTAAGGTTGTTATACTTACATTATTCCTCACTCACTCAGTTTCAAGAAGAAAATGACAGTGATACAGGCAGGAAAAATATACTATAGCTACTTACTAGATATAACCCAGCAAAAGCTTATAGGAGATCAGCTGTGAGTTGGGTCATCCCATTCACAACCAGGGAATAGAAAAGTCCAAATTGAACATATTTTTAAACCACTGTCAGCTCTACCCAGAGCAAGCAACAATTTCATCTGTTTGTGACATTCTCTAGAGTCATTCATCAGGTCACTCCCACAGTAATTCCTGTTCTTCATTGTTGAGTTATTCTAGCCATCACCTACCTAAGTCATCACAGTGATTTCTCACACACCATCTAAAGGCTGCATCTTAGTTTTTAAAAAGTACCTTGCACAAAGACCATCAAATAAATGTCCAGCAATCGTCACAATGTTTTTTGTTTTGTTTTGTTTTGTTTTTTGTCTCACATTTTTATTATAAGTCAGTGTGTCAACCATTCAGGGTACAGGAGGCACTCTCTGATTTTTACTGCTGTGACTAAAGAAAAGTTCTAGGGTCCTCCATGAAGTATAAATTTTATTTAT